CTATACATGGTCGTTTTTTTTCGGCTAAAACCGCCTTACTATACATGGTCGTTTTTTTCGGCTAATAACGCCTTACTATACATGGTCGTTTTTTTCGTCAAAAAACGCCTTACTATACATGGTCGTTTTTTTTCGGCTAAAACCGCCTTACTATACATGGTCGTTTTTTTCGGCTAATAACGCCTTACTATACATGGTCGTTTTTTTCGTCAAAAAACGCCTTACTATACATGGTCGTTTTTTTTCGGCTAAAACCGCCTTACTATACATGGTCGTTTTTTTCGGCTAATAACGCCTTACTATACATGGTCGTTTTTTTCGTCAAAAAACGCCTTACTATACATGGTCGTTTTTTTTCGGCTAAAACCGCCTTACTATACATGGTCGTTTTTTTCGGCTAATAACGCCTTACTATACATGGTCGTTTTTTTCGTCAAAAAACGCCTTACTATACATGGTCGTTTTTTTTCGGCTAAAACCGCCTTACTATACATGGTCGTTTTTTTCGGCTAATAACGCCTTACTATACATGGTCGTTTTTTTCGTCAAAAAACGCCTTACTATACATGGTCGTTTTTTTTCGGCTAAAACCGCCTTACTATACATGGTCGTTTTTTTCGGCTAATAACGCCTTACTATACATGGTCGTTTTTTTCGTCAAAAAACGCCTTACTATACATGGTCGTTTTTTTTCGGCTAAAACCGCCTTACTATACATGGTCGTTTTTTTCGGCTAATAACGCCTTACTATACATGGTCGTTTTTTTCGTCAAAAAACGCCTTACTATACATGGTCGTTTTTTTTCGGCTAAAACCGCCTTACTATACATGGTCGTTTTTTTCGGCTAATAACGCCTTACTATACATGGTCGTTTTTTTCGTCAAAAAACGCCTTACTATACATGGTCGTTTTTTTTCGGCTAAAACCGCCTTACTATACATGGTCGTTTTTTTCGGCTAATAACGCCTTACTATACATGGTCGTTTTTTTCGTCAAAAAACGCCTTACTATACATGGTCGTTTTTTTTCGGCTAAAACCGCCTTACTATACATGGTCGTTTTTTTCGGCTAATAACGCCTTACTATACATGGTCGTTTTTTTCGTCAAAAAACGCCTTACTATACATGGTCGTTTTTTTTCGGCTAAAACCGCCTTACTATACATGGTCGTTTTTTTCGGCTAATAACGCCTTACTATACATGGTCGTTTTTTTCGTCAAAAAACGCCTTACTATACATGGTCGTTTTTTTTCGGCTAAAACCGCCTTACTATACATGGTCGTTTTTTTCGGCTAATAACGCCTTACTATACATGGTCGTTTTTTTCGTCAAAAAACGCCTTACTATACATGGTCGTTTTTTTTCGGCTAAAACCGCCTTACTATACATGGTCGTTTTTTTCGGCTAATAACGCCTTACTATACATGGTCGTTTTTTTCGTCAAAAAACGCCTTACTATACATGGTCGTTTTTTTTCGGCTAAAACCGCCTTACTATACATGGTCGTTTTTTTCGGCTAATAACGCCTTACTATACATGGTCGTTTTTTTCGTCAAAAAACGCCTTACTATACATGGTCGTTTTTTTTCGGCTAAAACCGCCTTACTATACATGGTCGTTTTTTTCGGCTAATAACGCCTTACTATACATGGTCGTTTTTTTCGTCAAAAAACGCCTTACTATACATGGTCGTTTTTTTTCGGCTAAAACCGCCTTACTATACATGGTCGTTTTTTTCGGCTAATAACGCCTTACTATACATGGTCGTTTTTTTCGTCAAAAAACGCCTTACTATACATGGTCGTTTTTTTTCGGCTAAAACCGCCTTACTATACATGGTCGTTTTTTTCGGCTAATAACGCCTTACTATACATGGTCGTTTTTTTCGTCAAAAAACGCCTTACTATACATGGTCGTTTTTTTTCGGCTAAAACCGCCTTACTATACATGGTCGTTTTTTTCGGCTAATAACGCCTTACTATACATGGTCGTTTTTTTCGTCAAAAAACGCCTTACTATACATGGTCGTTTTTTTTCGGCTAAAACCGCCTTACTATACATGGTCGTTTTTTTCGGCTAATAACGCCTTACTATACATGGTCGTTTTTTTCGTCAAAAAACGCCTTACTATACATGGTCGTTTTTTTTCGGCTAAAACCGCCTTACTATACATGGTCGTTTTTTTCGGCTAATAACGCCTTACTATACATGGTCGTTTTTTTCGTCAAAAAACGCCTTACTATACATGGTCGTTTTTTTTCGGCTAAAACCGCCTTACTATACATGGTCGTTTTTTTCGGCTAAAAACGCCTTCCTATACATGGTCGTTTTTTTCGTCTAAAAACGCCTTACTATTCATCAGGGGTGTATAACATACGGCCGGAACGGGCCCGCAAGGAGGTTTAATCAGGCCCACAGGATAATTTAAAAGTTAAAAAAATGCACAAAAGACATGGAATGAATATTTTTAATAAGGTGCAGTTCATGCAATATCCGCTACGGGAACACACTGGTTTGATCAGAGGAAAAGACAACATTGTTTTTATCAGAGAAGAAGACAACAGCGGCTTCATTCTGTCACTGAGACAGACCCAACACAGCCGACCCTGTCAAGGACATGTAAATACTTTATTCTTTCCACATATTATAGCATTCTCTTAGTTTGTAAGGCGTAGGCAGGGATTTGATTTAGATTTTATATGCTCGTGTAAATGGTTTAAAAATTCCTTTCTTCATAAATCTCGTTTAATCTTAAAAGTACATTACTATATTTTTCAAGACCAATTACCTGTTAAGGTTTTGTGCCTTTGTACAGTCAGTGGCATCAGTTGCAATGTGAATGATAAAAGTAAATTGCACATTTGTCTCAGGAAATCTTAGGTGCTTCATGAAATGTTTTGTAAAAGATATGTTCATTAAATTTCAACATTGTCCTCGTGTTCTTATGCATCTGATGTTCATTAAATTTCAACATTGTCCTAATGTTCTTATGCATCTGTCGACCAAAACAAAGGAAAGACATATTATTTTGGTTATTTATAGCAGAGTATGGTATAATTTTTAATGGTCCGGCCCACTTGACATCTACCGAGGTCGTATGTGGCCAACAATGTGAAATGAGTTTGACACCCCTGGCCAAGAAAGCAAAATGACAAAATGACACGATCTCTTTGTGCAACTTGTCTTCAATCGAAAACGAAGTTGGCTTTGCAAACTCTCTCCTGATCTCAGGATGGCATTCTGAAGGCAGGCAGTAGGAAATACTGGCGTCGTCGATGGGTTATGGGTTAGGTTGGAGTGCCATCACATCGCCCACAAGAGACGCCAACCGTCTCACCAAATATGTTCTTTTTTTTTTAACCTTCAAAACCTCCGAGCACAGACCTGCAGGCAACACTTTTTGCTCTTCACCCCGTTATTCGCAAGGCGCTGAAGTCAAACTTTGGGCCAGCCTGAAAAGTAGGAGACATTTACACTCGTTCAATGCACCATCATGACTACTTTTTTGACTTTTTTTTTCTCCCCCAGGCAGCAGTAAACATGATCGGCTTCCTGCTCTCGAAAGACCCCACACACAGTTTATCTCCCTGGTAAGTTTCATGCCCAACACATCTTTGTCTGCACAAGAAATTGACTTGCGTGTAACTCACGGATGCCTTTCCCCTCAGGTCAACACACCTGTCCCACGTTCTTCTCAAGAGCTGACCACTTCGCCGCCCAGCAACAAGCAGACTGCCATCCAACTTGCAACTTTTTCCTCTGCTTTTATGATTGTCTACTCTGCAAAAGAAATAAAGCTTGATTACAAAGAACACTTCAACTCAACTTCATTTTTAAACACATCACCACAACCTAACTTTAAAAAAATGTTTTAAAAAACAAAATTATTATTCAGTTTTTTAAAAACTTTTTTCTGAATTTTTTTCAAACATTTTTTTCCCAAAAATTTTTTTCCTGGATTTTTTTTTCCAGGCAGAAAAATCCAAGAGAGTGGGTGTGGCCTGGCTGGAATGATGGCTGATGATTCGATAGTTGTGAAAGTGGGTGGAGCATGATGATAACACGTTGTGATTGGTGGAAGGGGGCGTGGCGATGCATGTTAGGCGTTCTCTGATTGGTGGAGTCTTTAGGAGGCGTGATTATGAAAATGTAGAGCAATCTGATTGGTCAAATTTATGAAAGTGGGCATGGTTATTCAAATTAGGGTCGCGGTTATGCAAATGAGGGGCCTCACCGCGATTGGTGGATGTCAAATTGGGTGTGGTTTGGGGCGGGCATTGCAGCACTTTTTCAAAGTCCCAGTTGAGTCTTCAGCTCAGACTTACACTTGGGTAACATCAGACAGTCTTCACTTTCTTTGCTTGATAATTGTTGCTATTTCCAGTCAGTAGAGTGCAATATTTAGGTCACCAAGTCATTTATTAAAATGTATGCTAAATTTGTCATAAATATTTAAAAGAAAAGCTGAAGTTAAAAGAGCCGTTTGAGAGCCAAAATGAGCCGGCTCTTTTCACTGAGCCGATCGAAATGAACCGGATCACCGAAAAGAGCCGAAAATCCCATCACTTCTGTCGATGGATCAGATCAGAACTCAACATCGTCTTTCGGTGCAGGTGCCAAGCTGTCGCCATCTCGTGGTCAATATGAGAAATGCTACAGGTGACAACTTCCGGAAACCCAAAACGAATACAGTACTCGAGTACTGTTTTGAAAATTGAAAATCAAAATGTTTATTGGACTTCTCCTGACTCGTGCCGGACAACAAACAAGCTCTATCTCAGTTTGGTGTTTATATTTTAAAACGAAAGACAAATAACAGCCGTTTTCGCACATTCAACAATTCTGAAGCATAATTTAATATTTGCAAGTGAAGACGTGATAAATGCTCACGCGACATTCACAAACACGTGTGTAAATCCCGCTTGTGTGTGGATTTAAAAGAAACAACCACACGTGAAAATTCGGAGCCATTTTTAGACAAAGGAGGAGCTTCGGGCGATGACGTATATCTGCGTGTGTGCACCTGCCACACCTGTCCTGCTAACTTCTTCACGCTTCCGCTAGTGACGACCGATAAAAACACAAAAAAGTTGGCACTTCTTCGACCCGTATTGGACTCACTTCGGCGTGTGTGAACTTAAGTAGGTGAGTGGATTCTTCGGACATATCACGGCTGTGTGTGTGTGTGTAAGTGGGCTCAACAAGTTCTTAAGTTAAAACTGCATTCCTCCGCTCGTTTATTAGCTAGGACACATTGGTCGATACAGCTAAACAAGCCTGTCTGTTTTGGTTTAGCCCCCCTCCCCCCGTTTCCTGTCCGCGTTGTTCTTAGTTTTTCTGGTCAAAGTCTACCTTTTGTTCTCCTTTCTCACGAAGTAGCCACACTACAATTTATTTCCTGCTAACTATTAAGTAAACTGTTTTATGAAGTAATATCTACTTATACTATAAAATCGAAATAAAAAATTATTTGCAAAACTGTTTTGAACAGATCAATTCGAACGTGAAAACATGACGAACCATTTCAAAATGTTTTCCACCATCAGTGTACTTATCTGTACAAATTAATTGACTTTTTAGAATCTTTATGACAGGGAAATAAATAACAGTGGTAATGCAGTTGCACAAGTGTGCACGGTCTCAAGTGGAAATTTGGTTGTGTTCCTTATGACTCAATCATACTGTAACTCAAAAATAAAGTTCAGGTGTTCTAGTTGGCTTTTCCAAAAGTCTTTGTTGCTACATCTTACAGCATTAGCCAGACTGGTCTGCAGCATCACTCCACAAAAAAGTTTGATTTGAACATGGGTGTGAACTTTTTGTATCCCTCTACATTATTTCGATGCTGTGCTCAGAAAACACATTGAACATTTTGCATTTTACTCATTTTTTAAATGTTATCTCTTCACAGGGAAAATTAAATACTATTGAGTATGTGAAGGCCGCATTTTTGACGGCCTTAAAGCTCCATATTCCAAGACAATTTTGCATCTTTACTCTAACTCCTCGAAGAGGACTAAAACATGTCTTGCCAAGTGCCTGGTGAGGAGGAGCTGGTCGTTCTCTTGCCGTTCGGCCCGATTGCACAAGGTCAGCTGACGGGAAGTAACAAGACTGCAGAAGAGGAATTAAAGGAGCAAAAACCTGAAGAAGTAGTAAAGATGGAGGAAGAGGTTCCAGGAGCCGGTGACGTCACCCTCCCTTGGCCTGGAGACAGGGACAAGAGGAGTGAGGACACGGACGGCGTGTCGTTGGGGGTTTGCGTGTCTGACAAGGACGATGATGGGCTGAGCAAAGCCAAGTGGCGCGAGAGCATGCCCGAGGGTGACAAGTGGAGGGACGACCTGCCGGCGGTGCAGAGGGACAGCAAAGGAGATGGCTCGCTGGCAGACGACGAAGAAGAAAATGAGGAAGAAGAGGTGTCCCATTGGGTCTCTGAGAAAGGTGCCATGGGTTTTACTCCTCAAGTCAAAGTAATTCGCCGGCAGTCCAGCGAGGTTGTGCCCCAAGAGAGCAGACTGGACATGGGCATGGACGACCGCCACGAACACGACAAGGATGTGAGGAAGTCGCAAACGCCTTTAGATGACTGCAATGAATTGCAGCAGAATGACTGTGAGTACAATACACACAAACCTTGGAATCTGAGAAAAACCTTGAAACAGAAATTATGGAAAAAAGTAAATGTACAAAGTATTTTGGTGTTTCTTTTGTTGCGGCCCAGTGTAATTCAATTGTGCTTTGTTGTTCAGATTTGTGCGGCGATATGTGCAGCGAGAAGCTGAAGCTGGCCTTGTGGACGGCGTTGGCGGCGCTGGTGTTCCCCTTCCTGGTGTGGGGGGGATACGCACTCCTGCCCTTTGACTCCCCGCTGATGGGCAGTGCCCCCCACAGGGTGGTCTACACACTACGCTGTGCCGTCTTTGCCTCTGTGCCCGTGCTGCTGGGTAACTTAGCCTCTGAGGGGTCATGACGCATGATCCACGTGTGAGATCTATGTGTGTGTGTGTGAGATGTGATGAGAGTACTGTGGATCTGAAGTATACAAACCCATATTCTGAGCTTTATCTGGGGTTAATCAGAAACGCTTTAAATGGTGACAGGTGTGCTGACTTCCACTTAGTTCAGGGGTAGGGAACTCCGGTTCCTCGGGAGCCATATCCTGCCTGTTTTAGGTCCCTCCCTACTCCAACACACCTGATTCAAACAATCAGCTCATCAGCAAGCTCTGTCAAGGCCTGCACAATTGAATCAGGTGTGTTGGAGTAGGGAAGGACCTAAAAGAGGCAGGATATGGCTCTCGAGGAACTGGAGTTCCCTACCCCTGGTTTAGATGGTGAATAATTCTAAAAACAGCCGCGTCCAGTTATGTGGGTGTTCAACCGCCTTATTTTAGTTGATAATTTTGACTTCAACTCTCAACAAAATTGCAGTTGTTGTGGTCTATCACAAAAAAAAACGCTCTGTATCTGTATCACTAAAAGAAGAATGCTATATTTACCTTTTTTTTGTGTGTTTGTAGGCGTGGTGGTGCAGGGTGTGGCCAGGGTTCGCTATGGCGAGATGAAACCGAGCTTCCAGAGCAAAATGCCTAACAGGAAGGTGTCACTGCACAGACATTACGTTAGCCAATCAGTGGGCCTCTTCCTCTTCTACTTCCTGCAGCTGAGCGTCTTGGCGTCCTACGTCAGCCACGACCTCATCAAAATAGTGCCACTGCTCACGATCATCTTTGTCTTTGGAAGGTAGGTACCACACCACCACCAAAGAGATCTCCTACACATAGAATTGAGGTAGACACCGCCTTGGCTCTTTTTTTTTGGGGGGGGTTCCTAAGCACATCCACCATGTCACAGGTGCCCGTAAAGTAATTCATGTCAATGGACTCAACTTCTCAATCTCAAAAATGACTATGCAAACATGCACCTTCTGTAAAGCTTGAACATGAGGAGTAAACATTTGTCATTTCAATCGTCACATTAAAAATGACTTTGTTTCGGTGCTTATCTGGTTCCCAGCTATTCGCCCACTAACCCGCACCACTTGGCAAAACTTAGCATTTTGCGTCTTTATACTGTGTGACAAGACATGAATACGCCACCATTTTGTTTGTCAAACTACTTAATGTGCAATTCACATGCCATAGCAGTGCATGACATACTTACATAGCGGTGCAGTTTGATGACTTGTTTGCCCACGTGGTTGTTTTTGCCCTCAGGTTGATCTACTGGCTCTGCTTGTCGCTGGGCAGCAGCATCCGAGGCTTGGGCTTCGGTCTGTCCTTTTTCCCCATGTTGGTCATGCTGGCCGCCAACCTCTACTTCGTGTCCTCTTCAACGGGACCGGAGGCCGTCTTCGATGTGGAGCCGCCCACCACGGCCCCTCCGCCTCAGCAGCGCTGGTGGGGCTGACCGGCACAGCGGGCGTTGGGACACTAACAAACCAATCTTTGACCGACGCCTTAATTTCCCCCAACTGGCCTCCAAGTAGAATGAACTTTCCATTCATCTTCAATGACAACTTCTCCTCCTGCCTAAGCCTTTCATTCAAAACTCAAAATTCTCAAAATGATTTCCTGCAAAATCTGACTAGTTTGAAAAAAAAGTGTGCAACTCAAAAGCAACTGTAAATAAGTCTTTTTATATGAGGTTAAAATATTTCAGATTTTTGAATGTTCTGCCGATCACTTATTTAGAAGTAGCCGATTTGTGTTGAATGTTGGAACGAATTGAATTTATTCCAGGCCGATCGTGTGCGGGGACCAGAACGTGTTCAATAAAACTTGGCGAAAAGGCGAGCACACAGTTGAACTTCACTCCGTTTGTCATTTAATATATAAAATACAGTAAAACATACGCAAAAAGGAGAAGGTTTCAAGGAACTTGGATACTTTGGTACAACAAACACTTTCTGTAAAAGCGGTATAGAATTTCAATAACATCAGTGCATACTTTTGTATATGAAAATATACACAAACTGTATATCGTTCAAGAAAAACAAAACGGCGAAACATCTTTACATCAAAACCCATAGCAGACTAGCTCAACACAATATATTAGCTATAAATTTCATCTTTAGTCTTTTATTTGCTACATCATTCTGACTGCTTGTGACATAACGGTTACCTGTGTCCCATGCGTCTAAACATGTTTCAAATTCCACCAATTTTTCTTTATAAATATATTCTATATCTGGATGAAAACTGCAGCATTTAACTGGTATGTTCCTTTTATTGCATTTGTCTAATACCGCATTGTCCGATCGTGCAAGTTACTTTGAACAAAAAGGAAACCAGTTTTGGATGTTGGTGATACGATGACAAAGAGTTCAAAAATTCCAAGCTTAGCAAACAAAAAGGCTCCGTCGTCATTGGGCGCCGCACTGAACCGGCACAAAGAAATCTCAAAAACATAAGGTACACGACACGTAACGGGTCCAAATGTCATCAGCAGATTGTCATTTGACCACACGGGGCAGGATGGAGCCAATTGGAGTGGTGTCACTTTGCAGTTCGTCATTGCTAACCGATCTTCATGTTTTGGCTTTTCTAATAAAAAGCATGTACACTATGGCCACATTTTTACACTCTAAATGTAAAAACATGCACTTTGTATAGTTTTCATCTCACTGTGATTCAATACATATTTTTTTCATCTGGAAAAAAACAAAAAAAATCCGTTTTTAATTCAACAGTAACATTTTTGTCGTACTTTCGCTTGTCAATGAAACTCGTGCATGATCATATTTTGAGCTTTTCTAATTCTGTAAAAACTATAGAGATAAAAAAAAGCTAAAATGCTGATACATGCTTTTTATTGGGCAAATGTTTGTTAATTAAATTATTTTTAAAATTTAACCTCAAAGTCAAAATCTTGTGTTTTTTTTCCCCCATCGCACCATGGAAAGATTAAAACAAAAATGTGCCATGAAATATTTTTTTGAGAAGAATGTTTTTTGTGAAAAGCATGTATCTTAATTTTTGTGATAAAATTGGAAATCGGTCACAATCCAACGTCAACGATGCATCTCAAAATTTGGTCATGTTGAGATGCATGAAAAAACTCAACTTTTCTCAGCTAGCAAAAATTGCATCATCTGAGGCATCGGTACATTTTTTGGCATGCTTTTTTTTTTGTGTGTGTAAAATTGACCTTTAGCTCTGAAAGCTGGTCCTGTTCATCATGATGACTTTGTGATTGTCCAATCAAACCTCTGCACATAACACCGAGGTGATTTAACTAGCTAACTAACTGTCTTGGGGCTTTAAGTTAGTACCTCTGCCGTGATGCGTTTTTTTATTTTTTTTAATTTTGATGAGGATTCTTGCATGGTATTGATTTTTAAAGAAAGCGTGTTTTAAAATGAATTATGTTGTAATGCAGTAACAGTCTTACAGAACTTAGTATTTTAAAGCTCTGCTTAAAACATCTTTTTTTTTTTTCATCAAGTTCAATCAACACAACTAAGTGCTGCCAGTTTACGCATGGACTTAACAGTCAAGTGACCGCAGACAAGTGGACGTGATTACGGGGGGCATGGGGGGGGGGGGGTTATTAGGAGCTTCGGTGTGTAAGGTCGGAGTAGACATCATCTCTTCTATTTGAACTAGATAATTTGTGCACACACATTCCCACACTGAAATAATGGCGACGAAACAAAGTCCTATTAAAAATGACATCAAACAATCTGTTGACTTTACTGCTTGCCGTAGAAAAAGAGCTAAATGTGCATCTAGATATGAAGCTAGGCTAAGGTGAAGAAGGGCAGTGATTGTGTGCGAGTGTGTGATGCTTTTCCAATGTGCGTGTTGGGTGTGTAGCAAACATGACAACAACACGACCAAGCAGCACTAAGTGGGGTACGCTACCCAAACATATCAACGTCACGCTTGTTTGTAATAATAATAATAATAATAATAATAGTATAATAGCGGACAGATCCACTGAGTTGACTTTTTTTTCTTTTTTTTTTTTAAGGGCTAGCTAGCAAAGTCAATGCAAATATACTCATCTGTACATACACGCGCTTGAAGCCAAAAAGCTAACGGGAGCGTTAGAAACATAGAAAACATCCGTTCACTTTGGGGAACCACGGGAAAAGTAGATGGGAGGTCTAACCCGTGCTTGAAAAGAGGGCATAAAGGTTTTGTGGAGGCGGGTTGGAGGTTTTCTACAAAGTGACGGACCCTCAGAACCAGTACCATCTGAGAAAGAACACCAAAGCGTGTCTACATAGCGCCCAAGTCATGAGTGTCCGTTTCGTGCGCGCCGTGTTTCATTTGGCATTCCGACGACTGCGTTGGCACGAGGCGCTTCCAAAAAGAGAAAAAATAAGTGCAGCATGGGAGGGATTTGCTGAAGAATGGACAGGTTAAAATGGTGTCCACAGAAAGCAGCAAGTGAGGTCCGCTGGATATGGACTAGATGAATGGAGGTGAGAAACAATGTCTGTCAAAGCTGAATAGACTCGACTGGACTTGTGGGTTGGTCAAGGTGTGTTTAATCTAAAAGGCTTCGACTAGAGATGTGGAGTTCACCGAAACAGCTCTTTGTTGTTGCCAGGTCATTGGCAGGTTGGTTAGTGTAACAGTCGTTGGACTGATTGGTTAAGGAGGTTGATGAATTGGGTGAGACGCTTGGTTGATCGTTATGCTATTGTGGCCAAGCGTGATTGGGCAAAGACCAGTTCTCATGAAAAATGATTCAGCAGCCTGGCAGCCATGCCTGGCAACAACCCTCGCGTGACCATCACCAGGAGACACACATCACAGACATAAATAGGAGAATTCAATCAACAAATGGACTTATCAAATAACCAAATATCAAATGGTCAACCTACTAATCAATTCGAGGTTGCCTTTTCCTCAAGCCATGACCACTTGAACGTGTTCCTAACACTCGCGTCGATTGCACGTATGTCAGCTTGCCTGTGTACCTGCTTGCGCTAGGGCCGTACCTGGACGATCACGCATGAATTAGTTTACACAAATCGCTCTTCAAATACTCGACATTCAATGATTAATCTGACTTTTGTGTGCACACGTGCACCCTTTGTGGCTTCCGTTCTCGCCGAAATGTCGAAATCTCCGAGAAATGGCGAGGTCATGAGAATGCGAGGGGAGGGATGTTACTGTTACTAGTGTTCGTGCCTCAACATGACTACGCTCGTGAAAGCAAAACAACGAACTCAAACGCGTGTTCGTTTAATGTTATCAACTAATATCCGGATTAATTTTAGGCAATTTTTCCTCAATTTTCCAGAGGAAATTTCATGAAAATTTGAAAATCCAAAATTCCGGGAAAATCCGGAGGACTTTCATCTCTAATGAGTATAGTGGCCACCTATTGGACGTTTTGCAACCATATCAATGATTCGTAGACCAGCCGGGCCGATGAGATTTAGACGTGAAGAAGCCTTTTGGATTAAAGGTTAACAACCAACATGAGTCCACCTGCCTCCATTCATCTTTTGCCTGCAAGGCTGAGAACGTACACAGACGTGTTGGTGTCGAGGCTCAAGCGCGTGGTGAGGCATTTGTTTTCAACGTCCTCACCTGTGGCGTGTACGACGTGACGTGATGTGTTTAAGTGTCGTACGAACCTCCCCACGTGCTCTCGGCCGCCGCTTATGTCACCCAGGCGTTCAATCTCATTCTCTTGATGTTGCCCCCCTCTTGCTCCGGCGAGGGGCTGAAGTCACTGCGGCCTGGCCCGACGCTCCCTGCGGCGGCGCTGACCACGTTGTTGTTATTGTTGTTCGCGCCGCTCCCCCCACCGCCGCCGCCTGTGTCCTCACGGTCGCTGCCTTCGAAGGAGCTGGCGTTGCTACTCACACTGTCAGCAGGCGAGCGTCCCGTCGGCGGCTCCAGGCACAGAAGTGAGCCTGGGTACTGGGGCGGTGCCGTCAGAGTGGCGCCAGAGGACGGAGGAGGCGGCGCAGCCGGAGGAGGACAAGGGGTGCTGCGGTCCTGGCCCGGCGACACCGGCTCCGACTTGATGCTGACGCCGCTGCTGGTGTTGACCGTCAACATGGCGCCTTGAGGTATGTGCGCCACAGGCCTGACCGCAAGAACAGCATCATATTAAACAAGCCAACACAAATGTTTTGACATGTTTTACAACGCAAAACAAGAAGAAGCCATTTTCAACAAGCCTGTGATGCATTCAGGGACCCCGTGGCTAACACACAAACAGGAAGGTTCCAGTAGTGAAAGCGCAAGAGTTTGGACTCTGCCGGAACCTCACAACAAAAACCAAAGAAGCTAATGCTAGCATGCTAAGCTAAGAGACAGTTGTGACATTTACATGCGGTTTCGTGCTACAGTGGAACCCCTATCTAGTCGAACATGGTGACAAACTGTTCAGTAGGAAAAGGATTCACTTTTTTGGAGGCGGGGGGGAGATACCGGTATTATGCATGTGAACAAAAAATATACATGGGAAGATACTTTTTTACTGTAAACAATGTTTGTACATTTACATTATCATTAAAATTGGAACAGATTATTCTGTGAAGGCTGCCGGGAAACATCCAGCAATGTTTCAGAGTGGATTGTGTTGGAGCTGAAAAGAGGTTCCACTGTGCTTGCGTTACCTCACTACAATCAATTGTAGCTACTATGTCCACCTGTACCACTTGTGTGTTTTATTTTGGGCCGTTTTCCAAATGACACCATTTCGCAGCAAGCACTATAAAGGGTGAAACATGCTCAAATTACCTTTCTCCAGCGAGACTGCCTAAACCAAAAAAGCCAGGTGTGTTTGCTCCACTAACTAAAGGGGGATCCTCAGTTTGCGATGGTCCCAACCATTCACTATTTTGTCACGTTTGTAGCTTTGTGATAGACTACATTGCGATCTGACTTTTGGGGTATGATGCCAGTGTAGGAATGCAACTCTTTCATAAACCAGGGACCGAAGTCTGGAGACCTGTCGTCCAAATGTCTGGTGAAAAAAAATTGGTATCCCACTTGTAATGATGGTCTCATGATGAAATCAAAATGGTTATGGTTAGTCATCTGTAACGCGTCATCTGTAGTAAAACATTTTGTTTAGGAGCATCCAATGAAAAATGAGTGATGTGGTATTGGGAGTTCACTTCTGGAACGATCAACATGACAGCCCTGGAAGCGTGAGGAGACATGTTCACACACACACACACACACACACACATGCTAAGGAGGAAGGCGGGTGCGAGGAAGGGGATTTCAGCCAAAAAGCGTACATGAAGACAAAAGGGGGGCGGGGCAGGAAAAGGAAGTGGGATACAGTACCGGCCCAACCACTCATCTCTACCCAAGAGCAGGTTGGACGGAGAGCCCAGACTGTGGGAAAGAAGACAAAAGGTTGGAGCTTCCCACAACCCAAAAACGATGAACCGGACATAAGTGAGCGTTGATCAACAACCGCAATAATGTCATCTGGAACAACACAAACTCTTCTGTGCTCTTCCTTCATACAATACACACCGAGACCCGACACTGGAACACTCAAAATGACCACAAAGACACAGAGAGTTCCTTCCTGCCTCACTATTTTGAAGCAAAATGTGCAGCATCAAAGACATAGAGACTAACAACCTGACAGGGACAAAAAACACCCACAATGACAAAGTGTGAGTCAGTCGAACATTGCAGGTCCTTCACTGGCGACACCGATACATGTACAGCTGCATATTCTATGGCCTGATTTGCGTCGCGTAGTTCAAGGGTTACACTTTCAATCGGTGACGTATGCACGCAAATAAAAACAAATATGCTACGTTAAATGTCTGCCCATTATTAAATAATCTCAACGCTTATGTTATAATGTGCTGGTTACCACTATTAAAATCAACAGAGGAAGGTTTAGGACAAGCCAACTGAAATTTGTTGGTCATGTTGAGCATTTGGATTATTTAGGTACTGTAAGTACAGGTGACACTTAATAAAACACCTAATTTATGGTGACATGAGGACCCATGAAGGCGGCTATAAATAAAATAATTATTATTACATCAGAATCTGGCTCCTGCACTTGCAGTGTAAATTCAGTCTTATAGAAAAGCTGTACTGAATATACAGTATGTATCCTGAGTATCGTTAGGATTAAAAGACTGTGCTCTCCTCCCTACAGACACAAGGTGGCAACACTGGACGCACACGCTCACTCACACACACAAGCTCGCTGACTCAAGTGGCTCAAACACATGCACACAGACAGGTTTGTGGTGGCCGTTCACCTTAGATTGGCGGCCAGGCTGGACACCTGGCCAGACAGCTCGCTGCTCTGTTTGTCGACGCCCCACATGCTGCATGGCGACAAGAGCACAGAGTACACTTCAAGGACCTGCCGTTCACACTAACGTCTGCGACCCAATCACACCACGCAAGAGGCCGGGGTGGGGGTTCATCAGTCTATTTGCGGTGCAAGGAATAACCGCTGCCCAAATCCGCGCTTTCTATTGTGTCGAGACTGAAATGGTGTAATGCTGGAGAAGAACGGTGAAATGCTTGCATATAAATGTGTCGTATGAACAGCATGCATGTGGATCGGAGGGAATAGCTGAAAGAACCTACACCAAGTTGCTGAGCGACGCCAGATTGATTTGCTGCTGTTGCGTTTGCTGCTGCGTTTGCTGTGAGACGACGGGCTGCTGTTGCTGCCATGTCGCCACGCTGGTGGGCAGCAAGCCGCCAGGGGATGTCAGGGCATGAAGCGTGGTAATGTCTGCGCTTGTCAGCTGGTAATCTAACAAAAATAAGAAATAAAATTGGGGCAAGACTTTAGCCTTATTCCACACTGCCTGTAACGGTAACAACAACAGATGCAAACATTTTGATAGGTAGGACAGCTCAACCCTCTCAGCTGACAGAGCTGAAATGCACATCGTGTATCATTCATAATGGATATTTTGCGGTTCACCTGTGTTGTATGCTGTGGACATGGCGGAGAAGGGCAGCCCCTGCGCCAGGAGGCTGGGCGTGGCCACTGACACCACAGGTGTGGTGAGGGTCTGGGCCACCTGGGCGCCGACTGCCAGCCGCTGGGCGTTCTGTCAGAGAGGGAAGCAAGTCGTTACATGTCGCCACTTTCACATTGGCAAAGTCTCTGGCATGCTTGCGGTGACACCGTACACAGGGTAAGGGGTTTTCCTTGTTATGTGTGAAGCATACCGTATATTGGATATTACATGAAAGGCAATTTCAACACAGCTATGATGTAACGGCTTTCCTCAATAGTGGTCGACTCTTGGAAAATTCGGCTGAA